CCCCCTACCCCACCTCCACTTACCACAAATCAGCACCCTATGGTCACGCGTTCCAAAACTGGCATAACCTGTCCCAAACATATCCTCAACCTCAACACCACTGTTCCCATCTCTCCTCTCCCGCTCACCTACCGTAGTGCTCTCAAAGACCCCAATTGGCACAATGCTATGTGTGAGGAATTTAATGCATTGATCAAGAATGACACATGGGAATTAGTACCCCCCCCCTCCCCTCACCAAAATATCATAACCGGAAAATGGCTTTTTAGGCACAAACTTGGCCCTACAGGTGAGTTAACCAGGTACAAAGCTCGATGGATTGTTCGGGGCTTCAACCAGAGATTCGGAGTCGACTATGATGAGACATTTAGCCCTATGATCAAGCCAGCCACCATACGTATCATTCTCAGCCTTGCTCTCTCTCGAGGATGGCCGATTCATCAGTTGGACGTCAAAAATGCCTTTCTTCATGGCCACCTGCAGGAGGTTGTCTACGCCTCTCAGCCATCCGGATTCTAGGACCCCCACATGCCCAATTATGTATACAGGCTCAAGAAGGCTCTCTATGGCTTGAAACAGGCACCCCGCTCATGGTACCAACGATTTGCTGGATTCATCTACACACTGGGGTTTTGAGGGTGTAAGTCGGACACCTCTCTCTTTATCTACTCTCATGGGACGGACACTGCCTACCTACTCCTCTATGCTGATGACATTGTCCTCACAGCTTCCTCCGACTCTCTTATTCGGTGCTTGACTTAGTGCCTTAAGGGGGAATTTGCCATGACTGACATGGGTGACCTTCATTTTTTCTTGGGCATCAATGTCCATCGGACAGCTCATGGCCTCTTTCTACATCAGACACAGTTCACTCACGACATCCTTGAGCGTGCCAGTATGATTACGTGTCGTCCCATCTCCACTCCTGTCGACACGAAGGCTAAATTATCTGGCACATCGGGTTCCCTGGTAGCCGACCCTGCCCTCTATTGCTCCATCGTTGGAGCCCTCCAGTATCTCACATTTACTAGGCCAGACATCTCCTACTCTGTTCAGCAGCTTTGTCTCCACCTTCACGCCCCTCGAGATGTCCACGTCACAGCTATGAAGCGGGTACTACGCTATCTCCGCGGCACCTCCACCTATGGTATGACTCTTTCTCCGTCTAGCACAGATTCCCTTCAGGCCTACTCCGATGCTGATTGGGCTGGGTGCCCCGACACCAGACGATCCACATCAGGTTACTGTGTCTTCCTTGGGGATAACCTCATCTCTTGGTCCTCCAAGCGTCAGGCCACCATTTCCCGATCCAGTGCTGAAGCTGAATACCGAGCCGTCGCTAATGTCGTTGCTGAGACCAGCTGGATCCGAAATCTCCTACTAGAGGTACAGCAACCCCTACGCCGCGCCACACTCATCTTCTGTGATAACGTTAGCGCGGTTTATCTCTCCACCAATCCAGTTCAGCATCAGCGCACCAAACACATTGAGGTAGACATTCACTTTGTTCGTGACAAGGTGGCCCTTGGCCAGATTCAAGTTCTTCATGTGCCATCTTCCTCACAGTACGCAGATATATTCACAAAGGGCCTCCCGTCCATATTATTTCAGGATTTCCGGACAAGCCTCGGGATTCGCCCACCATCGACGCTGACGTAGCTGGGAGCATGTTAAATATATTCTATATTTATGTTAAATATATATTCTATATTTATTGTATGTATATTGTTTCCTATTGTAGAATCCTACCATGATTAGAATTAGGAATAGCTTGTGTATATAAACACATGTACTCCCACATTATTGTTTAAGGAAATTCATAATTCTTCACATACATACATACATGCATACATACATACATACATACATACATACACACACTGACACACACACACATACTCGTAATTGATAGGAAGCAAGGACGAGTGAAGTGGTGATCATGAATTATTCATTCAAATAGAGTAACTCCGATTATCCAATCTTGAGCTGGATGCATGGTGTACATACACGGTACACGTAAATAAGTTAAAGGATTGAGCAGGAAGAACAGCAGCCGCCGCCGCCAGGTTTGACGCAGTAGTATATGAACAAGTATGCATCATAATCCTGTCCTTCTATGTTATAAAATTTTTCCTGCAATCCTGCATTCTTGAATGACATTTTCTCGTAAAAGGACACAGCCTCTTGATTGTAAGAGATCACATGCAGATACACTGCCCGGCAGGTTGGGATTTTCGACGCATACTCTATGGCCTCACGGATGAGACTGCTCGCTGAAACGTATGTATATTTACGTTTACGTTCCAGAAAATAAACAGCCATTATTAGCATGCATGCAGCTTTTTGAACTTTTTTTTTCTTGTTTTTTTAAATGAAAAAATAATGCGATCACTTAATGCAATCTCACCTATTCCATGTCTTCTATAAGTTTTTATGACTCCAATTGTGGATATATAAAGTACACCCAGCTCTGGTCCAAACTTCAAATTACCCACCTGTACGTACGTACGTATAATACAGCAGAGATCACCCACAACACAATACAGTCAACAAATAAACAAACACGTTAAAGTTCATTGCAGGAATACCTCCATGGTTATGTAAATATGGACCGTTGCCGTGTATAATTTCAAAACTTACATCGTTACTTCTCTTGGTGCTTGGTCCTGATAGTCTTATGCTAACACCCATTTACACTAAAATACCTTTCTAATCATAGGTAAATAACTCTGCTGCGCCCCAGTGGTTTTGAAAATGGACACCGACGCCCCCTTACTTCTTTTTCATTATTATTTTTATTTTTTCTTCTATTTTTTCAGAAATATTTTTAAATTCTTTTTCAACCTATTTTTCATAATATTTTAAAATTTATTTTTTGTTTGTATTTGAAATAAAAAATCAAAAAAAATTAAAAAGAAGTAACGTACACTTCATTTGAAATATTTTCTCTTTTTTTTGCACAGAAGTTCATTTTGTATTTTCTATGCATTAAATTCTCATGTTTTTTTTTTCTTTTTTAAATTTTTATTCTAATTTCATATATGATACTTATTTTGTTTTGATCAAAATTAAAATTAAAAATAGTAGAAATGAAAATGAAGAAAAAGAGAACTACGGAGTATATGAAAAAATGCTTTTATAGAAAAGGCAATATTAAGTCATGGTTAAAATTCGTTGGGGATCGATCTAAAAAAACTGTTTTCGATATATAATTAACTAAATGCTAAAAAGACTTTGCTCTGCATTTTTTATCCCAATAGATTCAGAAAAAAACAAGAATACTTTTTATGCAAAAACTATTCAGTGGGGGATCCACCGATCCAGGGATTCAACTAGATGGGGGCACGGGCACTTGGCAAAAATTGATCCGGCTTTTTTTACTCGAGACCCAATCAAAAAATATTGAATTTTGAACAAAAATTTTGTTGATCGAACCTGGAGATGACCGAACTCGAAATGACCTGCTAAAAATGGGTCTAACCCGACCAGACCTTAACCTGACCTCACCGAGCCTCTAATGAAATATTTTCTCAAAATTATGTATTTTAATATGGAAAATAATGTAATAAAATAAGACTATGTTTTTATTTTTTTTCTTATCACTCATTTATAGTGTAAAAATTTATATTTTGATCCAAGTTTTTAAAGATATCACATAGTTATCTTATATTTCTTGAAAAGTGTTGCATTTTTAGTGTTTTAGTCCTATTTAGTGCAAATTTTACTATCTAAAAAAGAATTGAAAATTCAAAATAAATATGCTAAAATATTTAATATATGTATTTTGATATGTATTTTGATATTTATTATGGAGTATTTTTTAGTCCCAAATGCAAGTGATAATATGAGCTTAACTATTCTTGAAATAAATCTCATAACTATTCTAGGGGAACCATTTGTTGGGGGTTTGAAGGCAACGCCCCTGTTTTTTAATAAGCAATAAGAAATGAAAAAAAACATATGTATTCCAAATATTTATTGAAATTTGGCTAACTAGATGGGGTCTTTATTAATTTTAATTTTTTTAGGAGCACATATACATTAAGCTAAAAAATACTCCCTCCGTCCCAGAAAACCTTTCTCCTTTCTTTTTTCATCCGTCCCAAAAAACACTTCCCATTTCTATTAAAAAGTCACTTTTATCTCTTACTTTTTCATATCCTACCTATCACATCATACCTTTTTACTAATAATCTATCCATCAAATCATACTTTTACCCATCAATCAAAGGACATTTTTGGAAATTCAATACCAAAATACAATCTACTTAAATCCCTCCTCAAAATCAAAACTCACATGTTTTCCGGAACGAATGGAGTAATTTTTTTACCTTACAACATGAATTTAGTAGGTGGCATTAGCCCCCAACTAAATAGCGTGCACATCCGCCACTGGAGCTATATATTCATCTAAAATTTGAATAGTATTTTAATCTAGTGGGACTTTGAAGTAGAAATATCAAAGTAGAAGGAGACAACGACATAAGTATTAAAATTATGAGAAATAAAAATGTGCATTTTTCAAACCAAAAATGTATTGATGCAATAAATTCCATCACATTATTCCAATAAATGAAGGATGCACCTCAGAATTTCTTGCCAGGAGAAATTGTGCAGTAAGAAATCCAATAAGTTCATCAGTTCCACCGTCGGGCCTATTGTTATCAACAGCTCCCCACGATTTCATGCCACTTTCATGTTTTACGACATTTTGGAAAAAATCATCCTCATACCTAAAAGTATACATTTTTCGCCGCTAAATTCACACATACACACACACACTTTGGTTCTGGTGAGAATGCAATCTTAAAAAAAATAAGAATGAATCTGGTGCTTTAGATTAAGATATCTAAGGGTCAAGATTGCATCAAAATTAGGTGCACCAAAATGGTTTGAAAATGCGTCATGTCGAAATGCACCAAAATCCTTTGAAAACGCACTATCTCACAATCTGAGCGCATGATTCAATCTGAGCCGCACGATTCAGCAGATCCAAAGACTAGATTTTATTCTTTTTTTTCACCAAGGTGCATTCTCACGTGAACCGACCCATATATTCCTATATATATATGTGTGTGTGTGTGTGTGTGTGTGTGTGTGTGAGAGTAGATCGAATATAATATTTTATACTTTGTCTACCTCAATTTTATCTTTTCATTTGAGCTTACATGGTCAAAATTTGTAAATTTTAATCTTCGATATGTAGAAAAAGTACATTGTGCTTTTGAAATATTAATTAAATGTTTAATAAAATATATTCTCTCCGTCCCTAAAAACCTTTTTCTATCTTTTTTCATCTGTCCCAAAAAACTTTTCTCATTTTTGTTAAAAAGTCATTTTTACCTCTACTAATTTCTAACCTATCTATCACATCATATCTATTCCATATTAATCAACCTGTTAAATCTTACAAGGACTTTTTTGGAAAAACTCAACACCAAAATATATAAGAGGAATTTTCGTAAATAGCACTAAAACATAATGACTCCCTAAATAGCACTACATGTGTTTTTTTCCAATGTAGCACTTTTAGTCATTATCCATTAGTCATTATTCAAGTAAATGTTTGTCATCACAGATCATTATGGACATTATTAAGTGCTATTTAGGGAATAAAACAATTTAAGTGCTATTTAGAAAAATGACTTAAGTTTTATTGCTATTTAGTACAAATATTTCAATATATAAATCCTTTAAAAGTTAAAATCTCCCGTGTTTTCAGGGATATAGAGAGTACTATGAATGTATGTTTAAATATCATCATTAGTTAGAAAACCGTGAAAAGAGAAATAAAAAGATCAAATTTGAAAGAAGGGAGGAAGTAACACGCACTTGATAGGGAAGAAATCATCATGAAGCTTCTTAAGAACTTCTATATCAGAGGGTTTTATCTCCCTTATAGTTATGTTAGGAACATAGGGGATGACTTCTACCTCTGCGGATGCTGACATTTCCTGAAACAATATTAGGCTTATTAAGGGTGTGTTTGGTGAAAAAATAAGATATGAATTTTGATATCTTCAGATATTAAAATTTTTTTGGTTGTTTGGTGAAGCCAAAAAAGATATCGAATTAGATATCTAGCTTGTTTGGGAATAACGTTAGAGATTAGCATTAGCGTTTTGGATAAAATTTTAACGGTGCAGATTATTTTGAAAACGCTAACGCTAAACGTTACCCGTAGATAACATTTTTAAAACGCTAACGCTATTCCCAAACAGACTCATCTCCAGATATCATAAATTCTTCAAATGGAGGATTTCGATCTTATGAATTTGGGAGATATCAACATGGAGTTTGATATCTATCTCATTTATTAATCATTATCCGTCGATCACGGGCTACCATTGTCACCACCAACCACCCCCGTTGCCGGTCATTCCCGCTTATCACTAATTCAATCATGATTTTAAATCTCTCCAAACAAATTCATTTCAGATTTCAAAATTCATGTCATTTAACCCACATTTGCGACCCGAGTACTATAAATAATGTATACTCCCTTCCTTAATATAATTAAAATACTTCTTCTTTAATTTTTTTGTCTTTTACCAAAATACTTTATTTTATTAAAAACTCACTTTTACTCCTACTAATTTCTATCCAACCTATCATATCATATTTTCTTACTAAAAATCTACCTATAGCATCTTAATTTACCTATCACATTAATTTTAAAATTAAAAAGGTCAACTATAAATACATGCTTGGCATGGCAGGTGCATGACATCTCTTCTTTTTTTAAAAATACTTTTTTTTTTAATTTTTTTGGTGAAAAAGAAGATTTTTTAAAAAAGAATACATCTAATTTTATGAAAACAGATAAGTAAAATAATTTTTAATAATTAAAACATGTTTAAAAGTATAAAAACCGATAAAAATAATGACTTGCCATTTGAGGGAATGTGTTACGCATGGGCCACGAGGGGGCACGTGGGTGAGCAAAGCATGCCAATGGGCCTAGACAAGGCCAAACGGACCAAAGAAGAGAGGATTTTGGCCCAAGAGGAACATGGGAAACCACGAGAGCAGCGGACGAGGAAAGCGCCCGGATGGCACGGTGATTATTATGTTCTGAAGTAAATTAATATTTTATGTAATAGTTTTTCTTAGGTGGACGTATTATAAGTCCCTTCAAGGGTTTTGTTTTCGGTTCTTTCGCTTAACGCCTTTTTTTGAACCGACAGAGTAACGTATGATTAGGGTTTCTCAACAAGTATAAATAGAGGATATACTCTCCTTATTTTGGATCACACAATCAAAAACCCTAATTTCCTATTGGAGTTTGAAGGCACTCGAAGCCCTTCCTCACTTTTAACGTATCAAGATGCTCTCATTGAGAGACATGACTGACGCATCGTCCACCACGAACGAACTCGACACTAGGGTTCGCGAGATGGGACACGCCATGGTGGAGATGCGTGTTACACTCCACTCACTTGTCACACGCTACCTGGATTGATTTTGATTGGTTAAAATACTCCACGTTATTATTTATCATTCTATATTTTACTTGCCATTGACCATGATCTAAGGGCAATCGAAATACTAAAGATTTGAGAAAAAGTTAAATACGAAGAAATAAAGATATGAGACAAGGTGAGTATTGATATAGAGTGAGAACAAATAAAGAACAAAAAAATAAAAGAATGTCTTATTGTTATTAATGTAACACCTTGACTATTAATAACTACTCCCTCCGTCCCTTAATAATGTTCCGGTTTTGACTTTTGGAGGAATTAAGGGAGGGATATTTGTGCTTTGACTTTCCCTTTTTACCCCCCAACCCTAAAATAAAGTAGAGAAAAGCAAAAGTATGAATAGTGTAAAGTGGGATTAAATAATTAAATGAAGTACACATGCAATCAAATCGGCAGTACACTGATGAGAGGAAAACAGGAAGCAGCCCATACTTCCTGCTCAAGAAGATAATTGGAACATCCAACTGAAGTTCCAGCCACCCAACAGCCCGGACCTAAACGTACTTGATCTTGGATTCTTTAGGTCCATTGACTCTCTGCAAGACCAAACAGCAGCTAGGTCCTTGACAGAGTTGATTCAAGCTGTTACAATAGCTTATGAAGAACTATCACCAGAGAAATTTAATAATGTATTTTTGACTCTTCAAGGGGTCATGGGTGAGGTTCTAAGTCACAAAGGAGGTAACCAATTCAAAATCCCTCACATTGGAAAAACAAGGTTGGCCAGAGAAGGGACACTGCCCCAAAACTTGGGGGTTACCAGACAGGTCTATGAAACTGCAAAAATGTTCTTAGAGGAACAAATATCAGTACCTTGATTTAGTGTAATTTTTGATATATGTGCAAACATGGCCAAGGAAAGATACAATGTTTCCTATGTACTTCCAGAGACTTTTTACACAATTATTGGATGGGAACAAGTGTTGCAGGGACATTTGAAAGCCAGAGAAGAACTTTTGAACATGCAGATTTTAGGCAATGGGATATTTTTGATTTTTGTGGTATTACAGTTTAGGTTGTAATGAAAGTATACATTATATTGTACTGCAAGTATACCTTATCTTTGGTCATGTATGTAAAAGTACCCTTATATTGTAATCAGGTTTAGTAAATGGTTTACCAAGCATAGAATCTGTTTTACTAATTGAATAGGCACCCATATGATCTGTTTTACCAAATCATAAGTCAAGCATAGCATCTGTTTTACCAAATCATTATTAAGCCAAGCATAGCATCTGTTTTACCAAATCATAAGCCAAGAATAGCATCTGTTTTACCAAATCATAAGCCAAGCGTAGCATCTGTTTTACTAATTTTAAAGGCAACTATAGGATCTGTTTTACCAAATCAAAAAGCCAAGCATAGCATCTCTTTTACCAAATCAAAATGGTTTTTTGGCACAAAACAGAAAGGATAGACCAGCAAAATTGATTTTTGTAAGTCTCCAACCAATAAGGGGTGACATTACAATATAGCTACAATGCCCAATATACCTCATACCTTTAAATCAGTCAGAGTAATGGTTGTTTGCATCATAAGTTTGCCAAAAAAACTTAAAATTGGACATGCAAATCAGAATCAAAGACTGAAAATTAAGAGAAGGGAGATAGTACTCTTTCTGAAGCGTAGTGCCTTCTCGTCATCATCAAAAGGCTCACGGAAGAAAATTTCAGTATCAGACATGTCCAATATCTGTTCTGAAGTAACTGATTCCTCCTCTTCCCCATCTTCTTCGTCACAGCCCCCTTCATCCTCTGAGGGAAAATGGCCTCCCCCAAGGTACTTTTTCCGATACCACCATGTCGGATCTGTATCGGATGTACCAGATCCGCTGTCACCAGAGTCGTATTTAGGGATAACAGGTTTGAGAGAATTTGGGGTAGGCAAACGAGAAAGCCTTTCTTCGTCACTATCGCTTAATAGCTTGAAGCTGGGCATCGAAGAGTCACGAATCACCATGGGTGGTGATTCAATTTCTCAAGAAGAAGGGAAGATAGATCGGAACAGAGGAGGAGAGGAGAGGGGGTACAGTGCGGCGATGGGGAAGTGGAATGGGCAGGAGAGAGAAGGTGGAATTATTAGGGTAGGATTGGGGTGGGTTGGGTAGTTTTTAGGTTAAAGGGCATAAATGTCCGGTTTTGGGAAAAAAGAACTTTATTTAGGGACGGAGAAAAAACGAAAGTGGAACTTTATTTAGGGACGGAGGGAGTATAATTATACATTAGACTAATGTTTTGATGATAATTTGATATATCAAAACTAGATCTTAAAATTAATTCCATAATGTGAAACTTACTTTATAATTAAATACTCTTTTTTTTTTGCAATTTGCAGTCGAAATTTGTAAATCTGATCTAAAAAAATCAAATGGATTAATAATTAAGAGGAGACATTGTCTAAAGATATCAAATTACAGCAAAAAAATCATTATATATGTAATGAAACTTATTGAGTCGATTTTTTATACATATTTTATGCACAAAGGCCGTGACTAAAAGTCTTCAAAAATGAGAATTAAAATAATTATTTTAAAGCTGAACTACAAATGTATACTGCGCACCCGGTTGCAGGTAGAGCTAGGTACACCCGAAAAATATTTATTTTGAATCAACTAAATGTTCATTTTAAATTAAATAGTGAATATTCAATTTCAACCATAATGTTTATTCTAAAGCTTGCACGTGATAAAATTCATTTTGAAATAACGTAACATCCGTTCTGAAACACCGTAGTATTCATTCTAAGACATTTTTTAGTTACTAGTTGTAAAATGCATAGAACGTACCTATATGCTGGCCAATCGAGGAGGTGAGAAATTAAGCCGATGTAGCCAAAAAGAATTCAGAATCTCGAAGGAAAAGAAAAAAAAAATAAAATGGTGAGATGAGCACAGTTTTGAAATGGGAGAAAATGCTTAGGGAAATATATATATAGATGAAATTGAATCCGTTATACACCAAAGAAATAAGTTTTTGTTATTTTAATCGTGTTTTGCGTACCAATACAGTTATACTAAACCTCCGCAAGAGCGCAATCTCTCTATCGAAACACTTTGTACATTTCCTCCATTAAAAAAACATTTAATTTTCTAGTTTAGCTTTGATATGGGAGAGATATTTGAAAAACAGTATTAACAAATGAAAAGTAAAACATTACCTACTTTAGTTTCCATATACTCCGAATAATATTTGAAAAAAAAGTTTTAAAAAATAAAAACTGTATTATTAAAATGTGTTTAATTAGATAATTTTTTATATGCCTCTCATGCTTTACTTTAAATAGAAATAAAGTAAGTGAAAACTATTCATTAAAAATCGATAAAAAAATTGAGGAATATGGAATTTTTTTTGAAGACAAAATAGAATTAATTAAAATGTACGTTACGTTTTTCCTCTCCCCATTATATTGCCTATTTGCCTGCTTGAATCCTCAAGTTGTTTGAATGTACAGATCATTACTCCTCTCTCTCTCAAAACCATTTTTCCATTTGACTTTTTTTTAAAAGTTTGTAAACTTTGACCTCAATATATATAGAAAAAATAAATTGTGTTTCGATATAAATATAATACTCTCTCCGTCCCCATTTTGATTACAATTTTTTCTCTCTCTCCTCTCGATAACTTTTGTTTATTTACACGATTTCATTAAGTATTTGATAAAATAAAATAATCTTACCACATCTTGTTTTGTAGAACTTTTGACGTAGCTTTTTAATATGTAATTTTGATTTCTTATTGATATACCGATTTGTAAATAAATAATTTCAAAAAGTGAGAAATTTTTCCTCGTAAATCCTAATTTGTAAACAAATTGAGGACAGAGGGAGTATCAATATTTTATGTATGAAACGTTGTTTTGAAGTATTAAATTTTCATACAATATATCCATGTATTAATGTAGATATTAAATATCAAAGTGTTGTATTGGAGATCGTGAAAAGTCTAATGATATGGAAAGCTCCTTTGTGGACGGAGGGAGTATTCTTTACTATGTAATATTTAAAAATTATATTAAATTTGTAAAATTTTCATAATTAACTATCCCATCAAGGTTGGTACAACTTGATAATAATATAATTCGTCTTATTAAATAGTACGTGAAGGTTCCATCCATATTTATGGGAATACAAAGAGAATTCTAATGGTAATAGAATAACAATAATTATTATAACCCTGGGTAAATTTTAGTAATGGTATCTGAACTTTCACTGAAATTTTGAAGTTGTACCTAAACTTTAAATCCTTTCATAAAAATACCTGAACTTACATAATCCTGCCCAAATCAACCAATTCCTGGACACAAAACCCCCTTCCTTTGAAAAGAATGTGAATGAATGTCAAGTCTGGACTGACCTCACCCATGGTGAGCGTATCTCCCAATCCTCGAAGTCAAAAGTTCCCTCCTCCATCCTTAAAAGCTCCTATGCCATTCTGTTTAGAGTTGTCGCTTATCACTGGCTTCCCATTACACACATGAACACAGTCCCACTCTGCATGGCTACACTTATCTACAAAATTAAGCATGGGCTACCTTTCAATATGGGGAAAATCATCTTTGATCAGATAATGAGCTTTGCATCTAAGAGAGCCAAACAGAACACTAATGGCCTTCCTTATCCTCTCCTTATTTTTCAAATACTTAAGTCACAGGGACTTGAAGTTGCAGATGAAGAAGAACCTACCCCTCCACTACTACAAGTTGACTTGAGGCACTTTGAAGGGAAACATCACAATGACATGGTGACAGTTGAAGATAAAAAGGCAGCCCCAGCATTTCTTTAGTCAGATTTCTCTCAAACAGCGTTCATCAGGGCTAAAATAAAGCTGCTGCAAGAGCAAATTGACAAGCACAAGGAGATGATCAAGGAATCTGAAGTCAAAAAGAAGAAATGGGCCATTATCCTTTCCTCACTGGATGCCACTCAAGGTGTAAGTGCACAAGCTCAGGGGGAGAAGTCCAAACAATGTGTGCAAGAAGATGATACAACTCAGGGGGATGATGAAGAATAGGAGGAGGATCAAGATGAAGAGACAAGCTCAAGAGAGGAAGAGTCTGATTTTGAAGCAGAGCTGCACATAAGCCTGATGAAGCAGATGCATAATCCTAACTTCCTCTTTCTGAAAAACTTCAATTTATTTTGAGAAACTCTTGGTTTTTAGGATTGTTCAGTCCCTGTTGTTATGATTTGGACTTTCTGAAGATGAAGTCTGTCTCTCTTATTTTGCTGACACTGCATGGGTTTTGATGTGATTTTTGTGATATGAATTGTTTTGGGCTGAAGAACACTATGAGTATCCTATTCAGAATGGTTTTTGGATAATCTGTTTCCTTGGTTGGTCTCCTTGCGTACTCTGGCATTTGCTTAGGATGACCACTTTCTCACTTGCTTAATCTGTTGTACACACTCTTGCACCCGGTTATCTGAATGTTACTCTTCTCCTATCCCAATAATATATTTTGTCTTTGGCATTTTTTAATTTTCCAAAAGGGGGAGAAGAGGTTCTGAACTGGCTGAGTGTCAGGTGATTGTGTTTGTCAAAAATTTCCAAAGGGGGAGATTGTTGGTTCTATGTTAATTCTATAATATATGTGCTATGACTTGTATGAGTCGGAACCATTAATTCTATAATAGGTGTCCTTATTGTAGTAAAACTAGTCATCTTACACGCAAGCCTGGAGTAACTAGGATGCTACGGAGGTATTGCTCATATTCTCAAGTATCGGCTCTGTGCAGGACTTCCTTACTGTCAATCCTTTGCACGATCAAGGACTCTTACTGGCCAGGACTTTATGGATCTAAGCACGCTTACGAAGGAGTTCAATGCGTGGATGGTTAAGGTTGCAACCTATAGAAGGATATGTATGAATAAGGCATTCTAGAGGATGGTGTGGTGCGCGAAATAGAGAGATACGGTGCTAACAAAAGAGAAGAGACTCTGTGTTTTTCTATTCATATATCATAAAGAAGAGTGAGAGATAAGAGCCTATCTTATATACATACGTGAGGTCTGTATGATAAGATCAGCCATGGATCTTCTCTAAGGATTATTCAGCTAGTGAATCTTGGGTGGCTGAGCAATGGTCAAGAAACATCCTTATTGCAGAGGAACGAGAAGGTGTAATAGGCCTGAAGTGACACAAACCGAGTTTGGTGTCTGATCACGTGAGTAGACAAATCAATTCAGTAGAAGGATCTTTTGAGATTGATTGTGTAATTCTTATGTTGATCTAGTGGAAAGGCTATTACACGGATGTAGGCCTCGCAGACGTAGGAGAGTTAACTCCGAACTGCGTAAACAAATCTCAGTGTCTTTACTTGCTTTTGGTGTGTGTGTTTTGCATTGGTGTTACCGTTCTGTGAGTCTGGCATTCTATTTGTGTTACGTGTTAGTTTATCTAGTTGAAACACTATGCTGTGTGTGTGGAAATTTCACAATAGAACTACCCCGTAGCTATACACATCCGCCGTCGTGGCAGTCGCCTCCCCCGAGCCCATGTGCTCTGGCGACATGTACCCAAAAATTCCGCGGACACATTTGTTCATGTCGACGACCACGTGGTGGTTTCCGTGCTCGTTCCTTGCCAAGAACTCGGCCAGAGCGAATGAACCGAGCCGCGGGTTCATGCCGGCGTCAAGATTTACGGTGGAGGATGTGATGCACCGGTGGATCACTTGCTCCTCCCATTCTTCGTGGAGGTAGTGAATTGTAGGAGCTAGGGATTTGATTATGTTGTATCGGTGGTACCACCTGAGTCATGGGGGGTGAGGAAGAAGAAGAAGAAGAAGAAGAAGAAGAAGAAGAAGAAGAAGAAGAAGAAGAAGAAAGGGAGTGAAAGAAGAAGAAAAAGAAGGGAGTGGGAGGGGAAGAAGAAAAAAAGAAATGTGGTCAAATTGAAAATTTTAAAATATATAAAATTCTTATTTTACCCCAAATGACTGGAAGTTTACCTGGAAACGGGTAAATAGACTTTTAGTGAAAGGATTATGTAAGTTTAGGTATTTTTGTGAAAGAATTTAAAGTTTAGGTACCACTTCGAAATTTCAGTGAAAGTTCAGGTATCATTACTGAAATTAACCTTGTAACCCTAGAATAACCAAAGTAAATACTCTGTAACTATAATAATTTTCTATTTCCTAATACATTGATCTATTATATCCAATATCCCCCCGCAAGCTGATCATGGATAACAAAGTGTGTCTTAGAGCACAACTACTGGAATGTAGTCGACAGAAGTAGTTTTGTGAGAATAGCCGCTACAAGTAGAGAGACAGATCTTCGTTGCATGACGAACAAGCTTGAGAGTTTATTTGCTTGTAAAATAGTCTAGAATAATTTTCAAAAAAGAATTTAAATCACAAATAATAAGTTTGTGAAATTTCTGATTAGTTTGTTTGTGAACTTAGCATTTCTCATAAAAATATATTGCATAGGCATTAATTCTGGTAATCATCAATTAATAATTTATACGAAGTATGGTACTATGTTTCCATTTTTTGGTTGGGAGAAAACAAAAAAAATATAGCATGCCAATAAGTTTTTATTTTTATTAATTAGAAGGCTGGGTTGACTATCCCTAGGCTGATTTTGAAAATTTTAAAAATTACAAATTCCGAAATAGAAAAAGAAATGAAATACATTGGTACGCATAAGTTTTTGGTAAGTATCAAATTCTGAAATGGAAAACCAATTTTGAATTCAAATTTTTTTACTATGTTTTCATTTGTTGGATGAGAGAATACAAAAAAGAAATATAGCGTACCAATAAGTTTCCATTTTTATTAAAAGGCTAGGTTGACTAGGCTGTTTCCGAAAATTAAAAAAAGTTTACAAAATCCGAAATAGAGAAAGAAATTAAAACTTTCCTACTATAAATACGGACATTCTCAAACTCTTTTTGTACTTACCCTCTTTGAACTGCGTTTTGAGTTTTAGTTATTATATTAAATATTACTCCGTATATAATTATTCAATTATACCTTTCGAGTAACATGAGATTGTTAACAAATGAAAAAAAATATTAGTAAGAGGTCATCAGTTTTGATGTTTAAATTAAGAGCGATAAGAGTATTATTTCCCCGACCATGCTAGGGGACCGAATCCTTAGATGTAATTTTTCATGATTCAGATGTTAGTTGTTTTATTATAAATAACCTAAAATATGTATACATTCACAACGTTGTAATGATGCTAATATGCACTTTTTTCATTTGCACTGTCAGAGACATATAATACATGTGCAGATCAGAGATTCAAATATATGCACTTTCAAAGAAACATTGAAAAAAAGATAGTGTTTATTTATTGGTAAGAGTCAAAGCACTACGCAATTACCAAACAACGAAAACTACCAGCCACCCTTTTATGCTAAAATTCGTTGGCGTGATGAAACTCCAAGAGATTTCGGGAAAGTTTTCCGAATTTTCATTACAAATTTATTAGATTTTCGTTACAAATTTATGGGATTCAGGAATTGACTTTTGGTGACAATGTGTTGTTAATTGGTAAACACCACTTAGATTATTATTAATTTATATCTTTCAAAAATGATGTTATTATAATTTACTAACGTAAATATGATCCGTGTAACGCATGAGTGTGATACTAGTAGTAAAAATAACATTACAAAAATATTACTTGAAAAAAATTAAAATATACGGAGTAACGAATTAAAGCTCTAATACATCAATCCATTTAGTCTAAACTCATCAGCTATAACTTGTGAATAATTTCATTATTCTAGTGGAAATATAATCAAAGACATGCATCTAGATATATGAAATTATGAATTGAACGAAGACCACCGTCCCAATATGAACTAAAAATTAAACCGAAATGCACTAATTACTCTCTCGACCATCTAATTAGATTAAAACTATGTTTAGAAAAAAATACTCCTCCGTATCGTATCATCAGCTAGCTAGACTGGGAGAGATACTTTGAAGTTAATCACGCTTTGGGTCTCCTCGCCGGCGCCGGCGATCGGCGGCGTCACAGCCAGGGGATTCACCGTTGGCGTCTCCAAAGAAGGATGCTCCACCATCACCTGGTAGTCTCCGTGAAAGAGCGAAGTCTCAAAGTAGCCGCCGGCAGTGGTGGTGCCGCCCAAACCCTGGCCGCTCATTCTTTTCAGGACGCCGTCGACGACGTCTCCGGTGGGCAGGTTCTTGAAATTGTTGTCGGTCAAACACATCTTGTAACACCCGTCCGGTTTCCACGCCGACCATATTACGATGCCTTGCACCGCCGGATGTGACACCAGCTCGTTTAGTATTTGTTCCAATAGTATTCCCTGCATCTCACAACAAACACAAATTCAAATTGTTATTCTCGCTCTTTTATTTAATTTATGATCAAAATTTGTCAATTTTTACTGCAAAATGAGTAAAAACTGGAAAAACAATCTTGGACGGAAGTGGTATATACGAGTATCTTATTTTCTATTTTGACTTTTGTATTCAACGTTTTTAAATAGGAAAAAGACTAAAATAAGAATAAATTATAAAAAATGCTAAAATAAGAGTTTTGTGTTTTAAGAGTTAAGATACATATCTAATGTCAATTATGCCAATATATAATACCAAAACTTATTATGAAATGTCCATATACAATTTCATATTATCATAATTCAAACTTCTATTTTAGAGATAAAAATATAGAATTTCTATTTTAGTAATTTTTTCTATGATTTTATTTCTACTGAGGGAGATTCTTTTTTTTGAATTCTGACGATATATTAACTTTGATATACATTTAACATCAATAGATTAATTTAATTTAATATATATTGATGGTGTAAATTATCGACCGCTATATCGTTTTTAACCGGTAAAAACGATAAACTAGTCTAAAAAACACACCAAAATATAAACACGGGGATTTTTACGTGGAAACCCAAATCGGGATAAAACCACGGGCCTTTTTTGGCGGTACTTTGCCAACGGGGGATTTTTATTAATATCGGGGGTTGTACACGGTACATGAATTGGGCTCGGAAGCCACTAATGGAAGCTTGAAGCTCCTTTGAAGAAATAAAATACATAAATACTCTAGTGAGAGAGAGAAAGAATTGTGCCGGGAGAAGGGTTTGATTGGCCCCCTTAACCTAGAGGGGGAGCCCTCCTTTTATAGGGGAGGAGGGAAAGCATATTCGGGGAATATTCTCTTATTCCCTCATTTTATTAAACAGATCCAGTTTGACTGTTCTTCGTAAAATAATTGGGAAATGTGGGTCGGGCCACGTATTATTTCCCATCATATATAGTTCTGAAAGATTATATTTTTATAATCTATGCTTATATATAAATAGAGATATAAATAGTCAAAATATTATAACAATTAGATATCTTGAACGTTAAATAAGAAGAAAAATATGAGATGAAGGGAAGTATATTTTTTCTCATTTTAAATTTGCACATTTGAAAAAGAAAAGAATGAAAAAGAGTTTGAGATGAAAACAAAAATTCCATTTTTTTTAAATTTTATTTAGGTAGATTTGTTAGAAATGATAATTAAGAAAGTAGAAAAAGCAAAAGTATGGATGTCGTCGTACTATACCTGGTTAGCTCGCGGGCTAACATCCAACTCGGTAATCCAAATGGGGAGATTCGTGCTGGCGAGCGTATCAATGGCGGACCTAACATACGCCAAGTCCGGGACACCAAAGTGGGCCTCCAGCCCGATCCCCAAAGGCCCATTATATCCATGGGCTCGGAGATCCGCGATCTTGTCAAGGTACTTGCTCGGGGTCGAATACGAGTCCTCCTGGTGCTCGATCGTGTTGTAATCGTTCAAAAACGGCGTCGCCTTCCCGTCCAAAACACTCGTCAATTTATAGTAATCCGCAGACGCGCCCGGGCCCAGCTTCTCCTCGAAGAAATGATGGTGAAGGTTTTCGTTCACCACGTCCCAATGTATCACCTGCAAACAAAAAAGTCACAAAATTTTGGACCTTCCATGTAAAAAAACTTTAATATTTTAATAAAGAAATATTTGTACTAAAACTTAAATCATTTTCTTAAATAGCACTTAAATTATTTTGTTCTCTAAATAGCACTTAATAATGTTCAGAAGCGGAGATAATAATGTCCAGTGATGACGAACATTTACTTGAATATTCAGTAATGGATAATGATTAAAAGTGCTACATTTGTAAAAAAAACATATATGATGCTATTTAGGAAAAAATCATTGAAATATTTATATTAAATAGCACTAAAACTTAAGTCATTTTTTTAAATAGCACTTAAACTGTTTTATTTCCTAAATATCACTTAATAATGTCCAGTGATGGCGAATATTTGCTCAAATCATGACTAATGCATAATGACTAAAAGTGCTACATTGGGAAGAAAAAAACACATGTGATGCTATTTAAAGAAAGTCATTAAGTTTTAGTGATATTTAAGTAAATTTTTCAAAACCATTATGTTTTAGTTCTATTTAAGTAAATTCCCCTGTAATGAAATGAGTGACAGTGACGCACAGAATCGTGCTTTTTGGTGAACAAGGCTCTGATAATACCTGTCCAGCATACCGCTTGACGAAAGAGTTAATCCTATCGGAAGCAGCGGCAGACAGTTGGCTGGGGGTGAGGTTTGGGACCCAGTAGGGCAACAACTTGGGGTCGTCCCAGAAGACGTTGTGGCCACGGAGAGTGACGCCTCGGTTTTGGACGAGCTGGAGCATGGCGTCGGACACGGAGTAGTCCTCGCGGCCCTGGGACGGCTCAGTGCTGTACCATTTCATCTCGTTCTCGAAGACGGTGTACTTGAACCGGGAGAAGAACCAGGCTTGGTAGGCGTTGTTGTTCAGGATGTTGCTGTTGATGGCGCATCCCAATGGGAAGTTTGGCCTTCCGCTCGCCACGGTCACTGTGGCATTTGGCAATGGGTTCCCTTGAGAATCCACTATTTGAAATGATACCTTTGATTTTCGTACCTACACATTATTTTCAATCAATAGAAAACATTATAAATCACCTTAAACAGGATCAAAATAGAACTTTCATGTTTTTTCTCGAAATAGGACTTTCTACTGTGGTAATGTGACTTTGCTCTGTTGTATTGTGGCAGTATACGTGTGCAAATTACTATTTTTGGTAATATATATAACCATGTATGGAAATGTAAGTCCTATTTCGGGAATAAAAACATGGTAGTCCTATTTTGGTATATTTTGAATGTTTTAGTCATGCTTTGGTCTTTATCCCATAGAACATCCACTTTATTTATTACTTATTTTTATTGAATCTGATAAAACCAAATCAGGTCAAAAACTATTTAAATTTAAATAAAACTTAAATGCACATTTTTCTAATGTACTACAGTCTACAAATGCTTTTGACGCAATTAGTATATGATAGTTACCTTCTCAATGCTCTTAACTTGGTGAGCAGTCCATTGCTCTGGGGTGAATTCTTTTATTGATATGCTATCACCCCATATCTCGGTTTGAGTATTGTTACTCTGCAGAAATAGTAAAAGAATATATTAATCTAATTATTTAATAACAAAAATACTAGGGGTACACCAAATGAGGTACCCATTTGTACCCCCCTCCATCCCCACCACACAAAGGCAAGAGAGGAAAAAAAAAATAAAAATGAAAAAAGAAATGGAGGGTTATGATGAATGATGTACAAATGGGGTACCCCAAATGGTGTACCCTTGGCATTCCTCATTTAATAAACCTTATTTTTTAAAGGGTGAATTAATTTACTTTTTAAACATAATGGGTGGCCAATTCTGATTTGATAATACAAGAAGTGTTTAGATTAAAAAAAAAAGTACCTGAAAATATAACTCGAAAGTAGCGGAATCATTAGAAACAAAACCACCCTTAAACATGGACCAACAACCAGACCGGGCAATAACCCAAGCTACATATTCATAGCCACTTGGTGTTTTGAACAAGACTGATACATCACTTTTAGTGTCATCGCTTATTTGTATCCAACCTATTAATAATAAATATTATTATGTCACATTAATAACGGTAAAAAATTGTAAAAAAATATTTTGGACAAAGAGACTAGTATTTTCACAATATCTAATTAGATTCATAAAAAAATGTCTAAAATATATATACCTGAAACTGTGTAGTGATGGCCCTTCTTCAAATCAATCTTTTGAGAGAACCCATCATGGGGGACTTTTCTATTAAAAGCAATGATGAAGTTGTTTCCTTCCATTGAAGTTCCTTTGGTTAGGTTGACTTGATTATTTCCGAAACTCAACCAGCCGTTCAGCCCGTCGTTGAACTCTGAATTCACGACCATCCCTCCATTATATTGAGGTTTTAGAGGATTTTTCATACACTGCGCGTGGGAGTTACAATTAAATATCTACATCTCTCAAATACATGTACACTTTCTGATTCGTCTCTAAATAATTTGGATGTTTTATATTGCAATGCTGGTTTTTTTTCAATTCAATCATTTTTAAATTAAGGTAACATTCATTTCAAAAAATAATAATAATAATAATTAAGGTGACATTTAAAATAAAATTTATAAAATAATTATTTAAAAATAAAATACTCCCTCTGTCCCAAAAAGTCCGATACGTTTCGAAAAAACTGCGTCTCATAAAATCCGTTACATTTCTATTAAAAAACCACTTTTATCCCTTACTTTTGCATACCCTACCTATCACATTATACCTTTTTCCTAATAATCTACCCATCACATCCTACTTTTACACATCACATCAAGAGTATTTTTGGAAAGTCAATGCCAAAATATCCATCCATTAATTTCCCAAAAAGTCAATATCTACCAATCTTTTTGGGACGGAGGAAGTACAAAATAAGATATGACAACACTTTTAATTTATCTAAAGAGTAATGATACTTAAATTAATTAGATAGTAATTTGGTAATTATAACATCCACGTCTAAAATGTTGAACTACCCACAAAAGGTAGAAGCAAAGGTCCATCAACATTAAAAAAGTTAAATACGAGTATTTTAAATAAGATCCACAAAATAAAGATGGACCTAAAGTATGTCCACCAAAATATTTGTCAAATTTTATTTTTTATTAGGGACAGAAGTCGTAATCAGTTATTAGTAATTACCTCATTATAGAAGCTGTAATCATAATCCTCCGCATAGACTTGAAACCCTGGGTATAAAAATAGAAACATAATTCAACCGATTTTCTTGATTAAAAATGGTATCCTGTATTGCTTTAATTTGCAAAGATTCGTGTGGACAATTATAGCATTCATCAAACCATAACCCTAATGTAAAGTGTGAGAAAATTTACATTTCATCTGTTAATCTTAGGATTATAGAAGCACAATTTTTATAAAGATAGGTAATCGAACAACAAGCTGCAATCCCCTTTTGGAATTACTTGTATTTTAACTTTACTAAAATAGAACTCGAAAAAAAATGACACAAACTTTATAAACATACCATTTTTAAATTTAAGTGATCACTTTTCAATTATTTAAAACAGTTTGATTCCTTTAATAAGGTTACTAAATAGATAATTATATACTCTCTCAAGTTCGTGATATTTGTGTCGTTATTGTTTGTGACTCAGATGAGTCATAATATTTCTCTTCCTAAATTCAAAGCTACGCCTTCAGTTACCAATTTTCATTTTATTTAACATTTTTTTAATTTCAATAAATATTATTTATTACTCGCTCCGTCACTAAATATATCTCACATTTCTTTTTTCAGCAGTCGCGGAAACTTTTGTTTGTTTCTACGTTTTAATTGATTATTTGATAAAATAAAATATTCTTGACACCATGTAGTTTTTTTAATATGTAAATTTTATTTTTTATTTCTATACTAATATGTAAATAAAATGAATTGAAAAAACTTGATATTTTACCTCAATAATAGAAATGTGAGATATATTTAGGGACAGATGGATTATAATCTAAATATTTATGGAAAATGCTAGAGTCACAAACATACAGTTCACAAATTTCACAAATTTGCCTTTTTTGTGAATTTTAATATAAAATATCTTTTATTATTTAAGTGCATCTTATTTTTAGGGAAGTGTTAAAAAGACAAGTTTGTACATTTTTTGAATTATTTATTTGTGATTCAAGCATTACTCAATACGGAGTATTTATTTAAAATCATTTACCCGTAGCAATGAGTGCAAAGAATGTGCATAAAGCACATAAAACGTGTTTTCCTCTCATAGATATCTCCTTGACAAATAATGGCCAACCTACACACATAAATTGATGATTTTGAGTTAGAGAAACCCAACGCAACAAATAAAAGGTTTATATATATGCCATATATGTTGCAACAAAAACGATTTGGCTAAAGAAATATGTCAAGTATAGGTATTTAATTAGAGGAGACATTTCAGAGACAATAAAAAATCAACCGGTTGTACGATATTTTCCGTACATCCACAGTGAGTACTCATTTACGAGCATCTGAATACTCATTTTCGAGCGACAAAATCCTCATTATTTTCAAGCAAATAAATACTCGTGTTCGAGTAATCTGAATTATCATTCTTTAAAAAAATTAATTATGCTTGAAAAAGAGCATTATGTTACACGAAAATAAATACTCCGTATTCAATTACTCGAAATTGAGTATTCAAGTAGATGTACGGAAAACATTATACGTCCTATGTCCGAATATAGAGACTCAATTTCATACCTTGCAAGGTAAGGGTGATATATGAAAGCTTAAGGCTGATTGAAACCTAAAGAAGGACAAAAATTGCACGGAGAACTAAGTAGGTATGTATATACCGGAGTATATATATAGTCCTCGTACTACTTAATGCTTCTAATGCATGACTTACCATGCATATATATACTTGATTTTCTTTGAAACGGAAATATATAGAAAGTAATTAATGATTGTGTCAACTATAACGAACATTACTAAAAACAATTCTTTATCAAAAACGGTAAATACGACTTAACTTAAATACTTAGACCTTGCAATAAATTGATTTATTTTTTTAGGAATAATAGAGATAATTAATATTCTTTCCATTACTTCACAAAACACTTTCGCTCTAATTTTTCGCGCACCCCATAAAACAATTCTACTCCACATAAATGTCTAAAATACTCTCAAAATAATTTCTACCGCAATAAACTACGAAATAGATGTTTACTTTAGACATTTTAAGTATGGTAAAAGTGTTTTGAAAGATGCACAAAAAATTAGGATAAAAGTATTTTATTAAACGGAGGGAGTAGGAAATACTTTAGAAAATTATATCTACAGTTTTTTTAATGCAGAGTAACAGATATGGAGTAATTGTTTCAACTTTCAAATTTTAAAATTTACTCCGTAGTAAATTAGTGATTAAAAAAAGATATGGAGTATGGATTTTTGGTTCGGTTAACCGATCTTAAGTTGTTAAAAAAAGAGAATCTATCTAAATAATAATACTAAAAAATATACTAACCTTTTCAATGTCGTACCATATTTTTTTCCCAATGTAATACATTGTTCAATATCCACTAATCATTGTTCAAGTAAATGTCCAGTGTCATTCGACACTGTTCAAACTAAATATCCACCATATCACTACTAGACATTGTTCTCGCTACTAGACCACTACAAGAAATTCGCGAATTTGCGACGTAAAATTTCCGTCGCAACTACCTCAGTATCTCTCGCAATCAGTGTTTGCGACGGGTCATGCGACGGTTTTGGTTCCGTCACAGTTTTTTGGCCGCAAAGGCAAATGCGACGACTCCGTCACAGTCCTGCGACGGATTCTACGACAGATTCATTCCGTTGTGCTTTTTCGAGACGAAAATTGCAACGACATAATAGGGCTTCCGTATTTTGTTCTACGACAGAAACTGCGACGACCTTTAAATTGGGATAGTACAATGAGCACTGCGACGGAATAATTCCGTCGCAGATTCCGTTGCAAACGTTCCAGATTCTGCAAAATCTGCAGCAATTTTAGCTAAAAAACCAGCTTATAATAAATGCACATAAACTTGAAAAATAGCAAGCAACAACACACAGGAATTTAGCTAAGGGGGATTACAAATAAACCAATTGTTCATAACAATAATAAATTAGTCTTCAATTCATAATAAACACATTAATGTCTCAAAACTTCTAAACATTATCAAATGAATATATATTGTTGAATAATTCCACAATGTTAAATCATACTAAATTAATGTATTGTAATGCTCACACTACAAAACCCGTCGTCGCACCACCTGCACCACTACCATCATCATCAAAATGGCCATCACCATGATGGCCGCGCAAGCGTTTAAGTTCCTCCACTATATTATTGTCTCTTTCTTCGACCATTGCCTTGAATTCCAACAATTCCTTGCGCAAGTTAACAACTTCATTGTTCTCTATGTCAGAGATATTACTTGTGCTGGCTCGTCTGCTCTGTTGTTGAGTATTCTTTGGTATTTTACGTGCAACTGCACCAGTGCCAAAAACATGATTCTTTGCATCATGCCCATCAGCTGCGACATAGAATAGTTCTCTTGGTGCCACTTGAATCCCCTCACGAATAGCTTCTTCTCTCAAAATATTGTAGTTTTCCTACATATTTTAAGCATAATAACTTATAACTACTTGTACATCTAAATTGCTACACACAAATATTAACACGATTACAAAATTTATGACTTATTGCCACTATCGATGCCTTTTCGTTGACCCACGTCTTTTTGTCATGTTTCTTAGTGTGGGTGTAAGTGTACAAGACAAAGGTTGAATCTTCTTCTTCTTCCACGTTTTGACTCTAATTTTTTTAAAACAAATTGATTATTTACCAAATGAGTGACATGTTTTTTATTACGTACATTTATATAACGACTTACAAGAATCTCCATTGACTCACTATAAGAGCACTGACCCAGTGTGTGGGGGTTGTGTCGGAGCATTTATATCCCCTACATGCCTATTCACCTTTTTTTTTGACAGAGAGCCGAGCCAAGTACGTTTCCTCGTCCCACATCTATATACATTACATTGAATGTATTTTTCAATTATATACAATGATAGATAATATATGTTTATATAATGTAATGTGTGTAACATTATACTAATGACTTACCTGCTTCCAACCAGCGGTTATGCTCTCATGCACCCTGGCCTTTCCTTGTCCTTTAAGCCTTTCTGAATTTTTTATATTCCCAAGAAAATCACCATAATGATCCGTGGCCTTGCGGATGAAAGCTCCCTTCATGACATTATCATTTATTGCAAGTTCCAAAAGACGTTTTTCTACATGTCATTATAAGAAAAAAAATATTTTTTAAACACCAAAATCAGGGATGCCACAAAATGATTTTATAAATTACTCAAACTTACATGGAACTCTCTCCAATAAAACTCTTTGAAACGCTCACTCACGGCTGCCCACCTGTAGCCAATAAGACCGACCTTTCTCTCGAACGATTTTGCAATCGTCCTTGTGGCTCCCTTAGACATCACCAACCTACATTATAAAACATGCATCTTAATTATACAAAAGAATATTCAAAATCATGGTAAAATTAAACATTAATATATGAAAATTTTTTGAATACCAATTTTTAGGGTCTAAGGAAACCTCATATCGTTGGTGGTTGTCAATCTGGAGGCACTCGTACGACGTGCAACTTTCCACGGTATTACTCCCCTATAACTACCATGTTCTTTGCCATGCATCGTCTTCATTCACTCCTCTGTACGTTTTCAACAAAATCAGATTATATCATCACTGTAAAGCATTATATATGACCAAATTACATGTTCAAAGCAAAAACTTTTGAACATATCATAGATATTAACAAAAATATTTGAACATATATAAAAATAAATCAACAATGAAAAGTGACTTTAAATATACTAAAACAAAAACTAGTAAAATATGTGCAATATTTTAAACATAAACACAACGAATAGTTTTGAACATAAGCACAAATACTACTTATGGGATTTGACCAAGCAAAAACTTTGGGAAAGCTACTTATGTTCGTGTTCTTGTTGAAGTGGACTTTGACCAAGAAGCCAAAAATCAAGTACAATGGCCACTTCAATGAATTCCATTTTTTTTCCAAAAAGTGGAGTATGAGGAGTATCCAAAGTTTTGTTATCATTGCAAAACCTTTGGCCAACTCCCCTTTTGACTGCAAAGTGCTAACGGAGGTTGAAAGAATGCAAAGAAATGAGGCTGCCCTTGCTGCTCGGGAAGCCAAAAAGTAAGGCACTGTCCAAAGGTGCTAACTCAACTGGGGGAGGCAAGGAACCTGCCATTGTTGTCCCCAAGGCTGGAGGGAAGAAAAAACTGCCACATGGTGAGAAGGGAGGAGCTACTGCCGTGCCCGAACCCGGAGGAATGGAACCAACTGAAAAAGGCAAAGACGCTACTGCTGCACTTTTGACTGGTGAGCGAGACACTGCCAGTGACAATCAACCTTCCACTTCTACTGCTGCACTAAACCTACTTGATGCCACCCCACTGCCCCTACCCCCAGCCCGCCCCATTTCCCCCTACCCCCTAGACACACCCCCACTACCCCTACCCCCAG